GCGCTCGGCGTCACACCAGAAATTCCAAAAATATGTTACATACTGATATCGCACCCAGCACGGTCCCACCACGCCCGGCGTGGGCCATCTAGAGGCTCACATTCTCAAGCTCGCCCGGTGCACACATCTTTGCGCCTGGCGGACTTTCCCAAATAGAGCCCTCTAGTGGTCACGTACCCGGCGCCAAGAACTACGCCTAGCGTGATACTCAGCAGCAACTCACCAAGTTCTAAATTCTCGCCCAAAACCTGCAAAAAGCACCAGAAAATCCACATGCAAACCATCCAAAACCTCACATTCTCACCCAACAGCTCGAAAACATCATCTTTTTACACATGCAACCACAAATTGTTCAAAAACCCAAATTTTCATCAAAACCCCGAAAACGAAATTTTTTCAATTTCAGCCAAAATCATCCAATCATCAAATCATCCATGAGTTACTAAACTCACTTTCACACAACCGGCATAAATCCTAGATTCCCTTACCTCGGTACGAAGAATCCGAGCTCCGGGAAGAAGAAATGGAGAAGAAGAAGAAGCTTGATCGGAGGAGAAGAACAAGCTTGAGAAATCAGCTCACGGAGAAGGAATCAGCTCACTCCCCACCTCCACCTACAGCCACCAAGATCACCACAAGGAAATTTGAGAGAGAATGAAAAGTGAGTGAGAAAAGAGAGTCGAGAGTTGAGAGGGAGAAGTGAGGGACGAGTCTCACAACAAGAATATTGAATGTTTATAGTATATGTGACAAAATTTGAGAAACCATGTTGTGTTTTGAGTTTTTATCCAATTTTGATGTTGCTCTAGTAAGCCCAAAAAGATTGCATTGTTAAGTTGGTTCAATAAAGCCAAATCACTTAGAATGCACACCTATGTTATAAGAGATCTCTTAGTTAAATGCATGACAACACATATAGTTGTTGTGTTATGCATATAATGTGTTGATGGTGTTGTGTTGTTCATATGCTATCTTGAGATGTTGATAAATTGTATGATTGTATTGTAAGTTGTATAGTTGTGTGATGAGTTGAAATTGTTATTATGTTGTTGAGTTTTTACCTTAAGTGGTTGTTGAAAGTTGAGTTGTTTAATTTGTAGTATAGTTTAGATCAATACATGTTATGCTTATTTTGTTGATTTCTTTAAGTTTACCCTTGTATATTTTAATGTGGTTGGATTGCAATGATTATACTTAGTATATGAGAGTAAGATAGAAATAGACTGGAGGTGATGCGAGTATGAGAGCCATGTTGGAGGATGATGACATTAATTGGGCTACTCTAATGTAGTTACTTTTGTACACTTATTTCTTGATCGGTAACCTAGGTTTATGCTTTCTATTCAGGATTATTGTATATATCTATAGCTCATAGTTGTAGTCCCACTAAGAATATTACATTTATGTTTTCAACCAAAGATAATTATACATACACATAAAGAGGAAGAACCCACTTACTCCAAAAGTAAACATACTTAAACTTACTTCACTCAATAATTATGTTCTAAATCAAATTTCAACAATCAAATAATTGAATTAGATTAAATATGCAAAATTTTAAAAAATTTAAAACTATTTGATAATCCATTTTGTTAATTTAAATTAATGTATAAAATACTCGTATGATTATTTGTTAATTTGAAGCAATAAAATAGAGTATTAAATAGTTATAATTTTTATATAAAAAAATTGTAAACTTGATCTATCAATTAAGAATTTTTAATCTAACAGTTGGATCGTTGAAATTTGATGTAAAATATAATTTATTGAGTGAATTAAATCTAGATAAACTTACTTTTAAAGTAAGTAGATCACTTTATATATATAAGGAAGGGTCTGTTTACTCCAGAAATAAATTTACCTAGATTTACTTTGTTCAATAACTCATATTTTATATCAAATTTCAACGATCCAACCGTTGAATTTAAAGTTTTTAATGCATAAATCAACTTTGCAAATTTTTAAAAAATTTGAAAATCATTTGATACTTCATTTCATTAATTCAAATTGACGAATAATCATAAAATTATTTTATACATTGATTTGAATTAATGAAATGAAATATCAATTAATTTTCAAATTTTTTAAAAATTTGCATATTTGACTTATGCATTAAGAACTTTAAATTTAACGGTTGGATCGTTGAAATTTGATATAGAACATGAGTTATTGAATGAGGTAAGTTTAGATTGACTTACTTCTTGAGTAAATAGATCTCTCCTTTATATATATATATATAAAATATTCATGCATATACATCCAAGAATTATTTGCAGAACCTTAAATATATGTTTCTACCGCTAATTATTAAACTGTAAAGTGTAAAAACACGATAAATTATTTAAAAAATATATTTTAAATGTGTGTTTAATCATTCTTAATAAATTGTGTGTAGTTGTAAGTGATAAAAAGCCCAAATAAATAAATAGTACTACTATATTTCACTTACCAAACAGAATAATAATTGTATTGTCATTCATTAGTTTTGAGTTGTAAATTTATATGATTTATTTCGTTTATAAATTTTAATTCAAATTATTTTTATCCCTTTAAATTTTACGAGTCTCGTTTAAATCCCCCCCCCCCCCCCCCATTTGCAGCTCTTAATTTCCTATTTAGTTTGTTTTAAAGCGCCTATATTATTTAAAAGATAAATAGGACCAACTAATAAACTTATGATAATTAGAGATATCAAGTTTAAATTAATTAAGAGGAAAAAAGGCACTCAAACAGTCAAAATAAAGACCTTTATTTTTAATAAAAAAAATAATATAGTTAGACACTGTGTTACCATTGTATTAATTTTTTTTTAAGAAAACAAGTAGTTAAAAAAGTTTAAATTTTTTTTTTAAATTATCAATATTTATTATATCAATTGATACTGTATTTGATTCTCAAATTTTAAAATCTTAAATTTGAATTTTGTATTTATAAAAATAATTAATTTTTAATATTATTTTTATTATTTAAAAATTTATAGATAAAATCGTATAATAAATATATATATATTATAAATTAAAAAAATATAAACAATTTTAATATGTCGGCAATCCCTTATAAATATCTTATAACTTTATTGACTCAACTTCTCTATTAATAATGAATATCTATTAAATTATTTATTTTATATTCATAATGAGTTTTACTTACGGCTATCTGCAAATGTATCTAGAACCTTTACTTATTTTTTTAGTAATTATCTCTAAAAGGTTGCATATTCAATATTAGCTATGGTTTACAAAAATTTCCCTTTCACACACAATTCAGCATATCTTAATTAACCAGTTTAAGGGAATCTACACACAAGATTTTATACTAACTCCTGGTCTAAGCATTTTGGAACATTTTGAAAAGAGAAGCAAATTAAAGCTGAGTCAATTTCAACAAAAGGTAGTGATTTTTAGATATTTAAATTAGAGTTAATTATCTATACACTGCCAGTGTAATTTTTTTTTATACTGGCAATTAATTATATCTTTTGATTATGTTATGTCACTGTTAAAAGTAAATGTGTTTACAGTGACATGACACAATTAAAAGATGAGTTAATCACCTATATACAGTCAGTGTAAAGTTTTTTACACTGCAATCAATCAGAGTCGTTAATAGTGCCTTTTTTATTTTAATTTAATTAAACGAGCGCATATGAAAATATGTATTATTAACGACTCTGATTGACTGTTAGTGAAAAAAACTTTATACTAATAATATATAGGTGATTAACTCTTAAAAGATATAATTGGTTGTTAGTGTAAAAAAATTTTACGCTAGCAATATATAGATGATTAACTCTTTAAATTATTTTAAACACCTCAACAATACTTTTGATTTCTTTCTCTCTCATCTTATTATATATTATATTACTTATAATACGTATATATTTTGTTATCATTTTTCTCTTTCAATAGGTGTTACATACTTACATACCATTTAAGATTTCTTTTACTTTATTAATAAAAAGATTATAATCAATATAAAAATCATAATCTGATTTGGTGTATATATATATATATATTATTAATTTTTTAAATTTTTAAATAATAAAAAATAAAATTAAAAATTAATTACCATTACAAACACAATTTGAATTTGAGACCATAAAATTTGAGGATCAAACGTAATGATCTAATAAATATTGATAATTTTTTAAATATTTTTATTAAATAAAATATAGAGACATGAAATACTTAAACTCCACTAATAACGATAATGGGAATTGAATTTAAATTTTCTTGCATCTACACCAACTCCATACTACTAAATCGACTTATCTTGACACATTCTTTTTCATTATAATATTCACTAGCAGAAAAAGACACTTAATGCATTTCTTATTAAAAAAAAAGATAATTATTTGAAAGTGTGTCTTTATCACCTAAAAAAATAAAAAATAAAAAAATTTGTAGACTAGTGTAGTTATTTGAAAGATGTGGGTGATTTATAATTTATAAATAAATACTTTAAGAGAAATATTTGAACTAAAATTTGTATATGAAAAAAATATATCACCTTTATAATAGTTCTATATATTAAAGGAATTAAAACATTTTGTATCTCTAACAATTTCATAGATAAAATATTAGATAATTATATATAATTATCTTGAGAGAATATAAAACTATCTTTTCTTAATATTTAAAAAGTATATAATGATTTATTAAAAAATAAAGACAAAAAATAGTTACATACTATGATATTATTTTTATAATAGATATAGATAAAATAGGTGTAATAATAACAATAGCATTACTTTATTTTGACACCCACTCAATTACAAAAACTTCTTTCATGATTACATCATCCTTGGTCCAAATTCAAAGCTTCTTCCCAATACATACCTTGCACTCACATGATACCAACTAGAGGAGTGTCAAGTGTGCTGGTTTTTGGAGAGAGAGAGACATGCGTTTTTGTTGAATATATAAGTTCACAATCACGAGATAAAAAGGAGGATAAAAGAGAAAAACTGAACCAGATTTTAGGATACTGGTAAACAACACCTTGTATATCTCATGTTCTTCACGCTAACTTCTAAATTTGGAGGTTAAGCCTTTTCTCCCTTGCGTGCCTTTTAAGCCTTCTTCTTTCCTATTAACTCCCCTCATTAAATTTCTATAGCCACACCAAAACAAACTCATTTCTTCAAACACCACAATACATGTTCTTTCCTCCTATTGACTCTCTCACAAAATCCTAACCCTATAACCTAATTATTCCATACCCTTCATCACCACCTTTCAAACACACCAAGTCATACAAAATAGTAATAATAATTAATTCTCATTATCAATGAATAGCGGAAGTGGTGGTAATAATAATGGTGGTGGTGGTAGTGGCGGTGGACATACTGGTAGCCCTTGTGGGGCTTGCAAGTTCCTAAGGAGGAAGTGCGTGTCGAGTTGTATCTTTGCTCCGTACTTTGATTCAGAGCAAGGTACAGCTCACTTTGCGGCCGTGCACAAGGTGTTTGGGGCAAGTAATGTGTCGAAACTCCTTCTCAACATTCCTACTAATAGGAGGCTTGATGCGGTCATCACCATTTGCTATGAAGCTCAGTCAAGGCTTAGAGATCCTGTTTATGGTTGTGTTGCTCACATCTTTGCCCTTCAGCAACAGGTAATTAATTAAGGATTAATTATTATAACTTTTAATAAATTCATAATTCAACATGCTTTATATAACATGAATGGAGATGTTCTTCCATACATATCCATTATACTTATTATTTGATTGCTTTTAATTCAGCTATCTTGATTATCACTTTTAATTTCTCTTCTCCCTACTATAACCAAGAAATTGCTTTTAATTTCTTACACATCCAATGAACTCTATTTTTTTTTTCCCTTTCTTTTTCATTGACTAGTGAATATCATAATTATAATTTTTTTTACATCAATCATAATTACAAATTTAGAAAGTGGTCAGATTTTGGGTGTGGAGTTTATTTTTGAACTATTTAATTTATGAAGAAAAAAAAACTTGCTAAAAACCGCGTATATATTTAACATTGTATACGACTCATGTAACGTCCCAATGTATTTTGTTTTGTTTGCTAGCTAGTAAGGTCAAACTGAAATAAGTCTCATTTTATGATGTTATACACGATTAGGATGATTTTTTTTCCCGATCATATTATTTATATGAAATGTTTATTAATTTTATTAATAATTTATTTTTATTAAAAAATTTGACTGATTATTTTTAAAAGGAGATTTTTTAACTACAAAATAAAGAAACGAGTTATTATTATTATTAAAGTTGATTAATTTATTTATAATTTTTAAATGAAACCGCAAGAAAATGAAACCTTTCCAACAGTTGTTCAAAATCAGTATTACTTTAAGAAAAGTAATATCAATTTAAAAGTTAAAAAAGTTGAGATCAACCTCGGGAACAAACTCATTGTTTCTTTTTTTTTTTTCTCTTTTTTTTTTCTTCTAAAAAGGGGTGTGTCACCCATTAATTAATTCCTTCAACAAAAGTTTTTGCATATACATTGTGCTAGCTATAGTGATTTGTGCCCTTGATCTGAAAGAGGAACAAAAGTGAGGATTGGGGTAGGAGGAAAATAAGGGCAATTAAGGACGATATATAGTCTCTATGTATTTCAATGAAATCAATAACTCATTTAATTTTACAAATGATGAGGTGTGCTAGCTGTTACACAAATGGTTAATCTATGACTATGGTATGGCCATTACTTCCTTGGTTCTTGCAGGTTTTGGGGAGTTGGTCGGTTAGTCCAGGGTTCAATTAATAAGCACTTTGATAAGGAAAATTAAAATAAATATTTTTGTCCCTATTTTCTTAAAATTAAAATGACTTTGACAATTAAAATTTGTAAAAACACTCATCCATAACTCTCTTTACTATCAAGTTACATAACTATGGTGTGATCTCTAAAATGTATAGTGTCATTTGCATTGATTACAGCTAGATGTATAATAAGATGTTGGTAATTTTTTTATTTTTTCTTTTTAATTTTTTATTAATTTGTGAAATCACACATTAACCCGCTAACTCTTTATTTATCTAAGATTCTAGGGCCTTAAAAATTAAAATATGGTTTTCGTAGAAGAAATTAAAAGTTTCTTCTATTGCAGTAATCTACCTCGGACTGTTTTTTCTTTTCCTTCTTTTTATCACACCTTTGACGTAACACAGTAGGAAAAGAAAAAAGTTATAAATAATTTGGGTTCCTTTCCAGCGAGACTAACAGAATTTTATCGGATAATAAAAAAATGTTAAAAAGAAAATAATGTTAGTATTTCTCAAATGGGATATATTTTTGGCTCTAGTTTACGTGACTATCATGTGCTCTAATTGCAGTGTGTTTAGTTTATTGTTTAAACTCACTAAACTAAAAAGTTACAAAATGTTACTTTTTATTTTAGTGCATTAGGAAAAGGGAATTTCAATTTAACATGTCCTTAGTGGTTCAATTAATCCATATTCACTAATATATTTTAGCCATTATTTGAAATGTAACTATCTTCATATTATTTTGATATGCGTGTAATATTTATGTATTGTGTAGAGTAATAAAAACTATTATTATGTGACTTTATGATAAATTTATTGAAGTCAATAAATTTGATATAAATAATGATTTATAATTAGATCAATGTTTAAAGTTGTTTTTACATTGTTAGTGAAATATATATGTTTTTTTTTTTGCTTTTGGTCCTTAAAATATACACGTTCTTCCTTTTTTTTTTTATCTCAATTCTTTTTTCTTAACTTTTAGTTCATGTAAATATTTGTGTTTAGTCTTTTGTTATGACTTCTTCTATTGTTCTAGATGATGTGTCAAATTTCTTTAATTTCTTACATATGTTTTTTAAAAATAACATCATCTCTCTTTTAGCCAAAGGCATCCTCCACAATTTCCCTCACCAGGTAAGTAAGATGAAGAAAAAGAAAAAGAAAATCTAACTTATTATGATTGAAGGATTTAATTTAAATAATAATAATTAATCACCAATGTATTAACATTTTATTTTTGTTTCATTGATCTACACAGGTGGCGAACTTGCAAGCAGAACTCTCTTACTTGCATGGCCATCTTACTCATATTGAGGTACCCCACCCATCACCTCCTCCAACGCCGCAGCCAACAGCACCACCGCTTTTCTCAATTGCTGACCTACCGGCCACCGCCACGGCCCCCGCCATACCGGTGACCTATGACTTGTCATCACTTTTTGAGCCAATGGGCCAATCTTCATGGGCCATGCAACAGAGGGGCATGGACCCACGTCACTACATGGGTGGTGGTGCTCCATCAACCACAATCACTCAGTCTCCTCCAACAGCTCCTTCAAGCTCCAATTCATCACCATTACCATCTCTATCACTTTCTAAGTGATTAAACCTCAAACATCATTTTTTTCTTGCTTTATAAACTATCAACTAATATTTCTCATCCTTATTCGGTTAAACTAGCTATAGACTAGCAATTATTATGATGGGATCTTCAATTTTCAAACATGTTTATATTATCAACTGTTTATTATTATAATAATCGTGATTATGTATGTCGTCGTTGTTCTTTCCTTCTTAATTTTTTTTATCCAAATTTTTGAAGAAAAAATAACCAGTAAATTTGGACACAACTTTAGAAGAATTTTTCTACTTCAAAATAAATATTTTTTTAGTAAAAATTTTTTTAAAAACTCTTTTAAATTTGTATTAAACATGCTAGCTCTTAATAGTATATGTTGAGATCCATAACTTGATAGTTATATTTTGAATTTCTTTTGCGAGTACATGTTGATAGTATAACTAGGATTTTAACATGTACAATGCACATGTATAGAAATGTCAATAGGGTAGGATGAGTATAGATATAGTTCTGCTACCCGTCCTGTTAAATAAATATTCTTTCTATACTTGTCTCTATATTTATGCGTGTATCTGTTGCTACATATTTTTTAATATCCTCATGTTAATTTTTAATTACTATAATAATTTTTTTTAAGAAAAATAATTTAAAAGTCAAAATTTTAAGTTATAGAAATATTATACATAATTTTATTGATCAAGATTCTTTGATTTAAAAACAAAATTTAATTGTAAAAGTATTTTATTTTCATAAATTTCAAAAAAAATTAATATATAATTATGTATTTGAATATAAGCGGGTACAAATACATCTGTATATGCCCCCATTAACATGCGGATATAGAAAATACTCATACTTATTACCTGCGATTACTCATTTACAATATCTATTTTCTACTCATAACAATTTTTATTCACGGATATCCATGAATATGAATTTTTTTAACATTCCTACACATACATGTTTATTATGTATAATTAAAAATGATAATAAGTTATATATATATAATATATATATATATATACTATATTTGAATATAAAAATTTTATTTAAAATTAATATACATAAATATTTTTAA